AAGAGTGACGCAAATACTCCCACAAGAAATTCATTTGCCCAATTTATTTTAGTATATTGTTGAAGAGTTGTTATGTTGTAACATAACAGAGATATAAAAATAGAATACATTTATGTAATCCTGAAAATGTATTGAATCTGGAGGCTCAATGTCCCAGGTTTGAGACACAGAATGAGCCTGACATAGAATTAGCTTGAAGTACAACCTACCTATGAGACTAGAAATCTGATCTGTCTTCTCCCATTCTGTCTCCAGTGTTTATTGGTGCCACATAAAACATATTAGATATGTTAGCAACTTTTAATGAATTCATGAATTCTACTATTCACCTAAGCCATAGTCTTCATGCACCTGGACACTGATTTTGACTTTATTCACTGACTGGCACTGGACATCTGCCCTACATCCTCTCAATAGGCCTTACCAACTACCTCCCTCCCTCCCAGGTGGTTGAGCTCTGTCTATCATGTACTGTTTCCTAATATACAGATTACTTATGATTGGGATGCTCCACTTGACTTTGAATGCTATTCATAGCCTACATCTGTGTCTCTTGTGTCTCAGCAACAAAACTTAAATTCAGTCAATGTGGAACATACTGTGTCAGTTATTAGGATCACGAAGTACTGGATATTTACCAGTATTCATATTATTGGCCAAGGACATAGTGGGGGAAATTCTTAATTCTATTCATCTTTTCCATAAGAATCTGCTATTGATGCCTCAGCTTATCTTTGTGCTGGGCCTCTCAGATAGAAATAATAAAAGATAAAACAAGGACAACAGGGGAATCAGAAAGAAATGTATTTTAGGTTTCTATAAGGAATATGTTTCTAATAGGGTTATTGAAATTATTGAAAATTCTCAAATATAGATTGCATGACTATTAGGAAACAGTAAAATTAAGTCTCTTATTCACAAAAAGATTCATATTCTATATGGAAAAGGGCAACTTTCCTTCAATCCCCATTTAAAAAGACTTAATAGGTTTTCCCTCAAATTTTAAAAGATTTAGTTATATTATGAAGGTCTTACAAACTCAAGGCAATACAAGTCAATGATTTCACTTTGAACTTTAAAAAAGTTAATATATGTGACAGATAGAGGTTTAAAAAAGCTACATCATAGAAAAAGTACAGATGATTTTAAGATCAATCATATCCAGTTATGAATCTCAGATCTAAGTCTAATAAGCATAGTTACTTCTGGCAAATTTATGTACTAGAATAAATTCATCTATAAATAAGTATAAAAGGTTACTTTGCTATGTATATTCACATAATATCTAGTATGTATACACATATGCTGTGTGTATAGTTTATATAATTTATTAGTAACATACATGTGATACATACAGACTTAGGTATTTTTTTATATATTAAAAGATGCAGTTTGTTTCTTTAAAAAAACTTATAGCACATGTAGCTTGTAGTAATGTCTAAGTTTTACTGCATACATATAACATGTTTAGCTGTTTCTCTATTGAATTCTTTGTTACATCACCTCCTCAATTACCACAGTACTTTCTGGGGAGGAACAATGTAAATTAGGAAAACAAGTTTTAGAGCACTAATAGTCCCTAATGTGGTTGGTAAGTGCACAGTCAGCTCTGGTACTCAGATAGTCATGACACCAGATCTAGCTTTTGAATTTCTAAATGATGCTTTCAGACTCTTGTTCCCCTCATGGAATGACACCATCATTTTCTTATCAAGGATAGCACCTGCAAAACTTCAATTTCAATCTGTTGATGATGCTGTGAATGACTTTGTTTAGTTTACCCTTTCTATTCCACAAATATCTTGTTGCTTCTAAATTATGCAATCTACAGAGCTGAAAATCAGTTGGTTAACAAAAATCAGAGCTACTCATATTTAGATAATACAGATTTTAGAAGAATAAAACACATTTTTTTAATGCCAGCAGTTTTTATGGATGAGCTGTACAAAATGCAATCAATGTTTGTTATATCTCTTTCCGCCTGGAGTATTCACCTTTCTACTGTGTTTGAGCAATAACAAGATATAGGATATTTCTTCCAGCCTGGTTGAAGAATGTGTTGCTTTGAAAAGGCAGGATTGTAAATTTTTTTTTTTAAAATTCTCTCCTTGAAACTTTATGTAGTCCTTGGGAGATACCCAGATGTAACCCTGAAAAGCCTAATATAAATTCACTTGTTGAGAACAAAATTGTTTTAAAATACTATTTATGGGACATTTCTAGTGAATTATTGTATGAAGAAATGATTATTCAATCAATTTTATTTTGGAAAAATCTTGATTTTTCCCCATATATATAATATGATCTCCTTCTATCTGTAGATATCTGCAAAATTGTACTGAGCTTGTACTAAGTCACCTTCACAACACTATTGTCATATATTGGCAACTATGAATTTAAAAGAAACCAGTGAACACTGAGTCTTTAAGGCAAGATTCTGAATCCCCTGCATCTCTGTTAGTTAACCTTTGTCTTTCACTTGAAAAAATAATAGAGATGGATTATTTGAGCCCCTACTATCACAGGGCACTGTGGATGAACTTCCCATTCAACATTAAATCAACAGGCATAGGCAGGATAACAAAAACCACTGGATTGGCAGTTTCAACCATCAGACTGGAGGCCTGCCTTTTTTTTTTCCCTCCAAAGAATTTATTTTGTTAAAATTCCTTGCTTCCTGGGGCCTTAGTATTCTCATTGGGAAAATGGTATAAAATGCCTGTGCTTCAGAGTTCACAGACTTCATCAGGATCAAATGAGCAATGACATGCAAAGGCATTTTATAAAGCAAAAGTTCTTTGCAAATGTAGGTTTTCATAGTAATTCCAATTAAATGTGTGGTGCCTTCTAAATATCTTCCAGGCAAGGATTCAGGATGAATCTTAACTCTTTGAAGGTTGTCATCTCTAGGAAACATCCATAACAAAGATGAGTCATAGAGACAACTTCTGTTAGTATTATAATATTCATAACAGATATGATAGCATTTGCAGTATGCATAATAAGCATTCTTATTTTGGGGGACTTAGAACAAATCAGAATATGGATCCCCATGGGCGCTGTTTCTAGGCTGGATATGCCGTCTGTTTCCCCCTCTTCTCGTATCCCTTTCTTTCCCTCCACATATTTCTAGGTGTTCCTGTTCCTAACCATCTTGGCTGGCATTCTACCCAAGGATATGGGCATGGGCATTGTTGTCCTGCTTTATAATTTTTATTAAGCTGCCTATCCTTCAAAATAGCCTATGCCACATTCTCAAAAGAGAACAAGTAATGAATTCCATAACCTGACAAATTTCTATTATTAAGGTGAATTGAATAAGATGTTAATGGGAGACCTTGACTTTCATGTCATCATATCTTAATGACATTTATATGATTAGAACCTTCCGAACTTTGCCCCAGAAGTGAAAAATGGAAAGATCACAATTTTGGCTAGTAGACTTTTTTTTGAATGACTTAAAAATCTAGGTTAAAAATTGATTAGTTGTCAACATTTAAAAATATGAAGATATAAAGTTAACAGCTTTCTGACTTCTTTTCAAATGCCAGGTCTTGTAGCAACACGGATTGCTCCATGGCAACATTAACAGTGGCTGAGGAGCATATGGCTCCTCCAGAAAAGCAATTGTGTTCATGTATCAAGGTCCTCACCTATTCCACCTTGTTTATGTATGTCATCAGTCTGGCCCCTCTAGGATCTGAGTTTGTGGTCCTTGCTGACCCCATAGAACTAACCTCATTAAATCCCAACTCATACCCAGTGATGGGAAAAATCGTGGACAGATGGTTTAAGGAGAACATATGTTGTTGATCTGTTTTTCTCATTTCATTAACCCCTTTGCCAGCATTTAAAACAGTCTAATCATATGTCACAAACCATAACTGGAGCATCAGTTTATAAGAGGATAATCTAGAGTTTCATTGAACTGTTTATTTTTAAATGTCAAGTGAAATCTGCTTTAAGATTTAGTCTGTAGTTCAAGGCAAATTTTACCAGCTCGACCAATGGGAACTCTACACACATTCCAAATTCCATGCCAGACACAGACCTGTGATGTCCAAGCTGTAGGAAGGGGACCTCTGGTATGGATTTTTACACAATGTAAGTAGATAGAGAGTGAAAGGTTTCCCCATGAAATGTTACATGTCACATGTTAGAGGGACATGTTAGAGGCAAGGGGAAAGACACCTGGAGACACAGTGATGGTAGCATGTTTTAGTATCTAGAATTTCCTGAAGGCTTCACAACCCCTCTCTCATTCTCCGTACTTAAGGGGAGGAAAGTCTATGTGAATAATCTCATAATGAAAAAAAGTGAAGATGTAGTTAACGGGAGGCAGCAATCAGGAACACGTTGTTTGAAAACAACCCTTCTCTTTCTTTTTTTTTTCCTTTTCAATTTCCAGAGTTTCCTTTTACTTAAATAAAAAAGTTTCTATCTAGGGGCCTGAGATGAAAGTGTAGGTCTCTAGAACAGGTCCAAGGCTCCAGTCTAGTATTCTTCAGTGAAGGATACAGATCAGAAGCACAAAAGGAGTCTCTATGATCCCATGTGACCTGGAACAGGTCACTAAGCTAGAAGTTCCTCATAGAGAGGTTTGAGGTTAAGCATTTCTATGTCCGGGTAAACAAGGGGAACTTTCAAGTTTGACCAGGGCCATAGTGGGTGACTGGTCAAATATTTGGATTGAAAGGCAGGTAATACCTTGGCATTATTCACAGAAGTCTTTCCTGTGTGTCTGGCTTTGAGCAAGGGCAGGTTAGCTTATTCATCACCAACCAACCTAATCATCTCTGACCAACTGGTCAATTACCCACAGTGGATAGAGCTCTAAGGGGAGGTGTCAGAGCAAATTCCAAGTGAACTCTTCATGTGGGCATAGACAAACACCTTCTGCTCAACTAGTGATTCAAACTCTCTCAGGACCCATGTCATCTGGTGAGGTCTTGTGTCAAGGATCTATTACATACAAACATATTAAGTATGTCACAGAAGAGAGACAAGAATGGATAAAACCAACTGCAGTGGAAAATGCAGGGAAATTTCAATTGTGTAGGATGAGGGAAATTACTTTTTCTTCTTGACAAACTCACAGACAAAGTACATGGTGAGATGACACTCCGTATCATTCCATCTGCCTGAACTCAGCATTTCCACACAGTCCTCATGACCATAGGGGTCGCTGGGCTCCCCCTCCTTCCAGTTGCTATAGTTCTGCAGTGGGGTGTTGTCCGTGAACACATACTGCCCCTCTCTCTCAAGGTCATTCACCCCAATGAACACCCGGAAGAAGCCACTCTTGGCAACATAGTCAGCAATAAGGGTGTTGATGGCTTCATCCTTGGGCATGGCTAGCATGCCTCCCCGGATCCTGCAGTGGGTGAGGGATTCCCTGTAGTTCTTCTCCTCCTGCACGATGTAGTAGAATTTCTCTTCAGTTTCCCTGATTCCTGCAATGACTATATAGGGAGGAAAAAGAGAGTATCATTATGCATCTCCAAAAGACAAGGGTCAAGTTTGACTGAAATACAGACAGATGTAATTCATTTGTTCAGCACTCGAGAATTATTTTGCAAGGTCCTGTCATGCGAGCATCACTGGTTTTTCTCTAATCATTAAGTGGAGAATGAACATCTACCATCTGTCCTTCCTTCCTTACCTCCTCAACCTCCCATAGAGCTGTCCAGCAGGGAGTTCCATTGACAAGGATTTGCTATGGGAACTGCCACCCAGATCATTCCATACTATTTTCCCAGCCCCACTTATGTTTTAGCCATATTTGCCCATGATCATGTCCCCCTCTGTCTTCTATTTCCATGTCTGGAAAGTCTTACTGCTCTTCTACCTGACAGACTCCTATTCATCACTTAAGCAGTCTTTCTGATGCCCCTGCACAGACACGGGATTCTAGTGTTCTTCCCTGTATTCCAGTGCTCTCCCACTTTACAGGTCTTTACAGGCCTCAGCATATTCTGCTCTAATTGTTTGCCCAAGTGTTACTTCTACTCCACTATGAATGTCTTGGGGAGAAGGCCCATGTCTTTGACGCTCTTCAACCTCATTGCATCAACAATTCCAGGGAATTATAAATGCTTAATGACTGGATAGAAGAATAATACAGAACCTTGTCAACTTTGGGCGAAGTTCTGAGGCTGTAAACTTGTACATTGAGATTGTCCATGTTATCCAGATACAAGAGGGAGACCAAGTTACTGACTGAATTTCCAATACAATGAGAGACTCAGAATCATCTTTAGCTCATATAATGGAATACTTTGGGCTTTAGGGGCATCTATGCATACATTTGGGGTCCATAACTTTAATTTATAAGGATGTATGTGACCACTAAACTATTAGAAACTATTGCTCTGTGTTGTACCTTTGAGGTCTGGTTTATCCATGACAGTCTAAGTCATATCAGATACAGAATCTTCAGTAGGGTTACAACTAGAGCTATAATTAAGGTGATTATTTAATATCAAGTATTTCCTATGCCTCTAGTATTACCAGGTAACTATGAACACAAGATGGCAGCTGTGTGCTTCCTATAATATACAACATATTTTTGTGAATTACAATAGATAAGAGTACAAAAAAAATGAAATCAGTTATAATAGTAACTACTATAGTTCCTTCAATAGTTCCCTCTTTCTCTGAAGAGCATATATGAGCACTTTCTACTTTAAGGACCTCACTGCTAACTGTTATGGGGAAATAGACAAAGGATAACAAAAATGACCAATATGGGAAGTTACAAAACTTAGAGAAACATATGATTTGTACTGAGTTTTACTGTGGAGTAAAAGGACTCAGGATAACCTGTATTCAAATCCTGTTCATTAGGTCTGTATCTGTGGGCAAGATACTTTGTCTGAGCTTTAATCATGGTATCTGTCATAACAATCATAAACATTCAGTGAAATAATGCTAGCACTCACACATTATCTCAACTGCTTAAGGAAATGGGTCTTGTTTTCATCTCTTTTCCTGAGATTCTTGCTGTCCCTTTTTTATCCCCAAGGCACAGGTTACCAAACTCTACTCTTTTCTCCACTGCCCTCTTAGGAAAGTACCTTTTTTTTTTTTTTTTAACCAAGAGGCAATATATGCATGCATGAATCTATGTCCTAGAATCTCAGTGGATATTTAGCATTTCAGTAGGCCTGTAGACTGGTGACACTATCCCAGTAAGTCTTTGTCCAACTTAAGGTATTTTCTGCTGGGAAATGTGTTGAAAGAGACAAAATCCATAGATATATAGTCCAAAGCAAAAGAGAACTTGTTCACCATTCTTGACGAACTTCATAGATGTCTTAAGCCGGGCAACACTAATGTCAAGTTGTCCAACGACTTTCCGGTATCTTCCACAATCACAGACAGTACCTTAAATGACAAAAACTGTGCAATCATGTGGAAGTAAATGCAAACCAATTAGAAAGGGCATTTGTTCCTTTCCTAATATTTACTCTCTTTTTCTAGTCTGATAATAGCTCTCTGTGAAGACTATCCATTTAACTTTTTGTTTAAAACAAGGTTTCCAATTTATATCCTTTTTAGGAATCCAGACAACATCTTTTAAAGTGTTTGAAATGATTTAAAAAATTCTAAAGTAAATTTTTGAAAAGAAGAATAAATCTGACACACCACCAAACAAGCGTGGTGAACCATTTGGCATTTTTGTTGAACACAGAACTTCTCTGTTCAATCTCAGAATACAATTTTTACAGCCTCCTTAAAACACATTTGCAGCCAGGATCTCTTGTTACTGCATTATTCACTCACACAGCTCTCCAAAGAGAGGAGACATTTTTCATGATTTGATCAAATGTTAATTCTGATTATTCATTTAAAGTATAGCTTGCATGTTTCAATGTCTATGTTTAACTCCTGCAAGTAGGTCTAATTTATAATTTTGAAAACCAGCTGTCCAGTTTGTTGGTTAACTATGATTTTAGTTTGCCAGTCTCCTTTCCTCACCTGCCTTTTCACTTTTCAGTCACCTAGAGAAGCAATTAGATGGAAAATAAGATAAAACTCAAATTGAGTCCCTTTTTCTGTTTAATAATGTCTGTATCATGTAAACATTTGTTTTCTTTTTTCCTTGGTCATGTAAAAAGTAAAAACAATTTTATTAACCAAAGGAACAACAACAACAACAAAATCTGTGGCTTAATTATTCCATATTCTCTGTTAGATATAAGGTATGAAAACAGTTCTTTGAATTAGTTAGTCTTCACCATACCCCTGTGAATAAAAGCCACTGAAATTCCCCAGAACAATTTACCTTGTTGAATCTAATTCAACAAATATTTATTTTTTTCTTTCTCTGGAAGTGAAACTGAATACTAGGGGAACTCCCTGGCCACGGAGGGCATTCTGGAACCACGGGCCCTTTCTGGATCAGGCCAGCATTTGGTTGAGATGCTAGTGGAATGTAAGGCATGGTATGTTGATGCAGGCTCTGCTGATTCTCCCATGGGTCCCAGAGATTGAGGGCTGCTTCCTGACTTGCTGGGTTTGCTTTTCACAATAAGCATGACAGGCATGGAATGTGCCCTCATCTTCTTCCCTAGGGCTTGGAAAGTCACCGGTGGATAGAGAGGAAAGTCCCCTTCTTCCCTTTCCTCTAGCCTGAGAAAAGTCAGGTTAAGCAAGCTGAAAGTAATTTTGTTTTTCTTAAAAAACATACGCATTTTTGAGATGAACATATTAGGGATGATGCTAGAAATCACGGAGAAAAATGAGTATACCATACCTGCCTTTCCTTTCTCTCCAGGTATCCCAAGCAAACCCTTTTCTCCTTTGTCACCTGTATAAGACAGCAGCAGAGACACAAAAGCACAATGAAATAAAAAGGTAAATTATGTATTTAGTTTGGACTGTGGATTGAACCAAGGGATGCTTAACCACTGAATTATATCCCTAGCCCTTTTTATTTTTGAGTTTGAGGCAGGGCCTCTTTAAGTTGCTGAGGGCCTTGCTAAGTTGCTGAGGCTGGCTTTGAACCCATGATCCCCCTGCCTGCCTCAGCCTCCCTAGTCCTTGGGCTTATAGACATGTATCATGGCATCTGGCAAAAGGTAAATTATTTCAAGCAGAAAAAATCCTACACATTTAAAATCAGAAGAAACAGTTTTTCAAATTGCATGGGCAATATCTCCAACTAATAACCCTTGGTTTTAGATAATTTCCTTCTGCATTGGTTGTATAGGCACAGATAATCAAACGAGTCATAATTTCTTTAGATGGAATGTGGTATCCCAGCAGGATGTGTAAGAAACATTTGAATCCGTGGTATCTTTCCTACTAGCATTTTTTTAAAATAATGTGGCCTTCTGAACAAGGCTAATAGAATTCTCAGTGTGTTTTTAATTTTAGAAATACAATTGCTTTGCAAATTGTATTTTCACTTTGAGAACATTTGGATCAGTCGGTTACCACATTGCAGTGTCAGTGTATTTATTAAGCCCCAAGTCATTCTGTGGCTTTGCTCTTGGATTTTGAAAAACATGTGTTGTGCTTTTTCAATTTAATTCAACAAATATTTATTATTTACTCTCTGCAAGACAAAGACCTGGTGAGGATATACAGGGAGGGAAGATTAAACCTCTGACTTGAAGGTTTTACAATTTTCAGGAGAGATGTGATAGATGTAAATATCTATACCATAAATTATGTCAAATATATTTTACTGATAATCCTCTGTATTCTCCTTTGCATGTGACCATATTCTTATTTAATCAGACATTCAAAGAATAATTCTTAAAGAATTAGGAATTTTAAGACAAAGAGAAAAAATGTTGATTTTTTTTTAACTTTAAAATTAGCTCTTGAAACCCACATCAGACACAATAGTTGAAAGGAAAAGCTTTTCATTTACAAGAGATAAATGTTTGGTGGATGTTCTTGAGGATCAAAAGAGAAGACCCTGAGAGAAATAAAACAGATTTTAAAGTTTCAATGGTTATCTGGGATAAGAATAGGAAAAAACATATGAGGGATAAATACAGGCTGAAGATCACCCAGGCTAGGAGGAATATGGGGCTTAACCCCATTGGAGTTTGGTGCAGCCAGGAATTGGGTATATGACCCAAGAGAACAAAGCGAAGGAGGGAAGAGTCAGCAAGGATGTTCTAACTTCATCCTTCACCAGCTACCGGGAAAAAACAAAGCCATTCTAAACCCTGTAGGGTGCCCTTTGTCGCGGGCACTGAGGACGCCCATTAGCTCTTCTCCATATCACTGTCTGACGAATGCTTTTCCAGAATACAGTTTAAGGTGGAAGGGAAAGTCTCAGAACTTGAAATTTAGACAGTGGTAAAGTCAATGACACTTGAGGATGGAAATGCTGTGAGAGAGAGATCACTGGACAATGATAACACCCTGAGAGGGAGCCAGAGGAGAGAGTGTTTCATCTGGAAGCATGAAGGAGTGTTCAGCCTTTGAACTTGGTTTTGAAAAGTTTCAGCATCAGAAGATAGAAGTGAGGGCTTGGACAGCATATAGCAGGGGGTACAGCTGGGGAATGAGAATGGAAATATGTTGAGCACCTTACCGAGGAAGATTGGTCTGCTTACAGCTTGTCTGTTTCCCATGAATTCCTTATTTCCTTATGTGCAAATTGGAAAAGAACAGATTTTCCAGAATATATTAAAGGAGGCAAGGGAACATGTATTTACTAAAGGCCAATCAGTTGCCAAGAACTGTTCTGTATACTTTACACATGTTATCATATTAAGTCCTGTGAACCAGATACTATGATTATATGTATTCTACAGCTGAAGCAACTGAGGGTCAGAAAGCAAATAACTTGCTCAAGGACATCCAGCAATTAAATAGAAGTGCTGGTACTCAAACACAACCATTTCTGACTCTGCAATTCATGGTGTTTCCCAAATGGTTTGACCAATGACTTAATAAAGTAGAGTATTTGAAAAATGTTCTCAAAGTGAAACAAACCAGAAATAGAAAGACAAATACTACATGATTTCACTCACGTGTGGAATTCAAAAAACGTAGCCTCGTAGAAGTAGGAAAAAGAGTAATTGTTATGTCAGTGTAGTGGGGAGAAGTTGGGAGAGGTTAGTCAATGGGTACAAAGTTGCAGCTAGAGAGGAGAAATAAATTTGGGGGTTCTATTGCACAGTAGGGTAACTATAGTTGATAATGATGTATTTCTACTTCAAAATAGCTAGAAGACAAGATTTTGAAATGTTTTATCACATAGAAACAATAAATGTTTAAGATAATGGATATGCTAATTAATGTCATTTTATCATTACACAACATATACATGTATCCAAATATTATATTTTACCCCATAAGTTTGTACAATCATTATATATCAATTAAAAATAAAATAAAACAAGGGGCTGGGATTGTGGCTTAGTGGTAGAGTGCTCGCCTAGCATGCGCAGGGCCCTGGGTTTGACCCTCAGCACAACATAAAAATAAATGAATGGAATAAAGGTATAAAAAATTTTAAAAAATAAAAAATTAAAAAAATAAAATAAAACAAGAAAAATGGAAAGTAATAGCAGTCCTTATCATCACCAATAATTATATGAACTTAAAACATCATGAATATGAGTTTAATATTTTTATTTTTTAAAAATTTGTATTTTATTTGCATGCAAATCCCTTGTAATTCAACATGTATTAAAGATTGTTTCCACTTATGTTATGATTCTAGTTCTGGGTAAGTCCCACAATAGGCATACAAAAAATATAAATACAGAGCAGTAGTTCCCCCTCTTTTTACTTTCTTTCTTTCTTTTTCTGCAGTTTTGCTTTACACGGTTTCAGTTATCTGTGGTCAACTGCAGTCCAAAAATATTAAGGGGAAATTTTCAGAAATAAATAATTTTTAACTTTAAAATTGCATGCCATTTTGAAGAATATGATGAAATCTCAAATCATCCTGCTCCATCCTCCCTGAAATGTGAATCATTGCTTTGTCCATAGTATCCACATTATATGCTACCTACCCATTAGCCACTTAGTAGCCATCTCTGTTTTCAGATGAACTGTCATGATAGTGTAGTGTTAGTTTTCAAGTAATACTTATGTAGTAGCCTAATGCTATCTCACAATGCCAATGTCTTTCACATCACTTAATCTCATTATATAGGCATCGTATCATCTCACATCCCTGGGAGAAGGGTGAATACTACACAAGATATTTTGAGAGAGTAAAGGGGGCAAAAAAAAAAAAAAAGACCACATTTGCATAACCCTTGCAGTATATTGGTATTTTAAGTTATTGTGATTAATCATTTAGTTTGCCTAATTTATAAATTAAACTTCATGATATAAGAGAAAACCATAGTATATATTGGGTTTGGTACTATCTGCAACTTCAGGCTTCCACTGGAGGTCTTGGAACATTTCCTCTAGGGAAGGGAGGAATACTGTATTTGCTTTGGAAAAATTATGAGATTAAAAAAAATGAAACATATGTAAAAGATAAAGGAGAAAAGATGGATGATATCATATATGAACAGTGAAATAAATGAAAATCCTGATAAAATCTCAATAGGAGAGCAAAAGATGCCTCCCTAGGGTTCATGGTAGAGAAAGGGGGATTGAAGCTAGATTGAAGTCACCTTCAGCTGAATCTTAAAAATGCAGGAAGCAACTTCTTAAATTGGCATGTGGCTTTTCTTCTGAGAAGATGTCAACACTCTAACTGCTTTCTAGTATTTTGATATTAATTCCTTTCCTCCCATAACAAATGGGAACACCATAGTAGTATGGTGAAGTGAGACCATAGAAACCCCACAATTCAGGGTTTAAATCCTGGCTCTGCTTTCTAATAGCTAAATGTGGGCAAGTTATTTAATTTCTTTCTTTTTTTAAAGATGGAATGAAAGTATCTAAAATGATAAGATCATCAGGAGAATAAATTAGGTAATGCTATCTCATAATTGGATGAACATTGATCTGACTCACAGAGGATGCTCGACTGATGTTAGCTTCTGCCCTGTACCTGAGTTATGGTAGAGGAATGCAGGACATGATCTTAGCTGGTGCGCAGAGCATCTGGGATTAGTGCATCTATTTCTCCAAAATTCATTACAGTTTAAGGTCATCCACAAAACTTGTTTTGACCCATGAGTGAGAACATGTCTGTAATACTGTCTTAAGTTTGAAGACTTAGAGGTCACATTCAGACAAACAAAAAACCATAATGCTTTCAGTGTAAAAGGATTATTGACCTCAAGTAAAAACATTTATTTTGCTATGAGATTGAATTTACCTATACTAAATCATTGTTATTTGTTATTTCTCAAATGAAATATTGACATCCAGAAAGCCACCTTACCCATGCAAGTGACAACATTAAGGTCAGCCTAAAAAGTTAAGATTAATCCAAGTCAATGAAAAACTTAGAAGGGCCATCATCAAAATGAGGGTGATAAATATCAAAGTAGAGATTAAACATGAAATTAATCCAGGTGGCCCAGAACACCGCATCTCTATTTCTTTTGAAAATTCGAGGACATGCTCATAAATTTTGATGACATATCTTTGGAGGAGAAGGAAATCTTAGTGGCCAATAGTGGAAATGGATGCTAAGGGAAAACATAATTTATAGGAAGAAGGAGTAGGATAGAAAGCCGCATTGTGGGATATAAAGTGCTTTATTGTTCTTTTTAAAAATTCTTATTGTATCAAACAATTTGTAAACTTTCTGCTATATAACAGGTTTTAGGATAAAAGTGGGGTTCCCTAAGTAGAGCTTATATTTATTTAGGCAAACAGACCCAGTGAATCTGTCATTCATTTATCCCCAGAATATCAGGGGGAAACACAGGAGCTAATAGCCATGTCATTGAGGACAGTGACAGAGGTATGCATAGTGCTTCATACCTCAGCCTCTAAGGAGAAGCAGGCCTGTGGGAGATAGGTGTAGTTACCCCTATCATTTCCAGACTCTTAATAACTCAACAATTCTGGGAGTTCATCCACAATGAGATTCCCCAATCACAAAGGGTGGAGACTCTTTGCCTTTTCTTGTCTCTGTTGTCTACCACTTTCCCCAAGTCTCTTGGTCTTGTTCTAGGAGATGATTGAAACTTGGACCAAGATCTTTAACTAGCTCTGCTTGTTAGAGACTTCATAAACCTGACACATCTGCATCTTGAGAAGTGCAGTGTCTAAGAATGACTCACTGAAGCCATTCACTTCGGGACTTGTTCATGTCAGTGGATTGCCGCTATCCTCCACCTCTGCTCTCTTCAGGGAAGTACACGGTGTCTTCAGGTGGGTCTTAACCTCCTCTACCAGGGCTAACCTCTAGAAGTCTTGAAGTCCAATATATGCCCCTCTAGCTGCACCCTCTTAGGTGTAGATATGCTAATTCCAGGTGATCCATGTACCAGCCAAGAACATGTCCTGTGTTCCTCTACCAGAAACACTTTATCCACTGATTCCCTTCTGCTCCAGACCATGGCTCCTAAAGTCCTATTCATTTTGATAGCCATCTCATGCCTCCAAATATGTGTGTGATTTATTTTTTTTTTGACCTAGCTAATCACAATTAGTAGAAAGAGCAACCTAATGCAGGCCCATCTCTCCTGGCCTATAGAAGAAGCCTGAAAAATTTCTTCCACCTTTACAACTTATTATTGACATATTAAAAGTAAGAATATTGTACAAATTGAAAATATCCCCTTGCAAAGTCTTTTTCATTGATACCAAAACTTTGGATTTGGACAAACTTTCCACACACTTTCTCTGGCCCTGTATTTTTCAAACATTATTTATTTTCCACAAACTACACATTTCTTGTGCCAGATTCTCCAGGACATATTGAGATAATGATCTGACCTATTGCCCAGTGCTTTGTAACATGATTTTGGATAGACCTGCATAATAAGTGGTAGTACTATATTTGGAGGCTATTCCTACATTGGACTTGCTAGCAATAACTTGATTGTACATCAAAATAACTTCAGACTATGTAAATGTACCTTATGAAGTTCAAACTTAATGTTTTACCCTCTCTAGCTCCTCTTAGCTAATGCCCCAAATACTTGTATCCACTCCTGGACACCTGATACTAGATGACGGAGGGAAATTGGAGCAGGGGAGAACAGCGTTAAGTCATGCTTTCTTGATGGGTAACATCACCTCCAAATATCAGTTCTTGGGGGTGAAAAATTCTAGTTGTTAAAATATATAAAACATAAACATATACAATATGAATAAATGAATATACAGCCCATGAATAATATTAAAATTTCACCAGAAGAGGCAATTAGGAAAAATACATTATAAAAGGCTTGTTGGAGGAGCAATTATTTAAGAAATGTGGAGAAGCACTGTTTTAACCAGTTGAGGCCAAATGTCTCACTAAGACATAGAGTTATGTGAGCCATGCAAATGAGAGGCTTGTTAAGGGGTCTTGGGAACCATGCAAATGAGGGACTCTAAAGCCAAAGTTTCACTAGCCACAAACAGTCTGTAGCAGGACCTGCGAACCCTGAGGAGGGTGTGTAGCTCTTCTCCAACTACAAGGATTTCAATCAGAGGTGAATGTGCAGTACAAATCCCTGGATCAAAAATTACCATAGCAGTTTCTTTTCAGTACACTGCTCTGCATCCCCGCCTTCAAATGTCACCTAAGGAAATTCCTCAAGGGAGTTAGTTAAAAAAGAGTGGAGAGAGAAGAAGTACTGAGTGAGTTACAGAATGGAAGAGAGGGGCCACAGCCTCAGCAGGGACTCCCAACTATTACCCTATCTACAGGAAGACATGCAGGCCACAGAAGGGCACTTGTTAAATTATGCAGAGGCTCAAGCACTTACGAAAAGACAGAGGGTACATCAAGGTGGCAGAAATAGTAATACCCCAAGCCACTGAGCTTCCCTAATCTATGACTTTGTACAAGTTTTCTTGCATCTTTCTTAAATGTCTTCTCCCCATTCCCTCAAGACCTAGATCACTTCCTCCTCTTAACAGTCTTGCCTTATTCTCCTATATGGCCCCTGTAGTAATCATGTCATTCAGTATTATGATTTTTATTGATAAATTTCTATCTTTTTGAATAGTCTCTGAGTCACTTTCTATACAATTTTGATTTTCCTTAAGCTTTGTATCCACAAACCAAATGGAACAATGCCTGTAAGTTTGAATTATTGAATATCAGAAGCAATTAGAACCTGTTACTATTGTGGGGTTTGGGGAGAAGAGGAAGGGAAGAATTGCTTAGAGAATAAAGAGGAGACTATCTCTGTTTTATAATATTGAGATAGTGACTATGTTCAAGATCAAAATATGTCTGAAATCAAATGGGGATGCACACATATACCTCAAGTTTTATCCTGGTAATAGATCACAGGTATAGAATCATTAGTTTACTTCATTCAAATTATGAAAAAAAGTTATTTTCTTCTGTACTGATTTATGTTTTATGAATAATCATCATGCCATTTTAATTGTACCAAGAATTAGTAGCCAATGAGTGGATCTGAAGGAAAGTTTAATACAGACACTAGTAGAACTTTAGGCTTGTCTCTGTCCCTGAAATCTTATTAAATTTTGCTCAAGGACTTTCTTTCTTTGAGCTGCGAGATATATTGCTTGTGTAAGAACCAAGATAGGAAGACAAAATTTATCTTTTAAAAGAGAGAAAAGGGATCATTTTCATCATACAGAATCTTAAAAATATATTAAGGATATGTTAAATTTACTTTAAGTTGCTACTACAGAAAATAAAATGCAACTTACCCTTCTTGCCAATAGGCCCAGACTTGCCAATATTGCCCTGGGCTCCTATATCACCCAGTTCTCCTTTAATTCCTGAAAAACAAGAATGCCATTTTTAATACCATAAAGTTTTTTTCTTCCCTTTAAGAATGTGGCTAACATGATATTTGCCAAAAAGAAATAATAAAAAGTATATTCTTCTTCCTGTGATATCTGATTTGTATCTTGTGCTATATTATCTATTTTAACAATTATACTTTATGTATATGTTATTATGAAAATGAAATATAGGTTACTATGACAATCCTGAACATGATGATATTAAAATACCTGCTGGTACAGTATTTCTAATGACCAAAGCATAGGATGTTTAATTTTAATGTTAGATAAGGGCTCAGTAGAAGGATTCATGTCCTCCTTTTTGGATCTGTTCCTCTACACACATTTCATCTTTACTTTGGGATTCTATTTTCTCTCTCTTTTAAAGCAAGGTTTGCCCATCTTAGCAACTTTTTAAAACAGAGGAGGAAGTGCAATCCTAAAATCTGGTGATCAAAGCAACATCAGAGATGGTCTTGCTGAGTTTTTATTCCAAATGTATGATCAGGGATCACAACACTCTTCTAAAGCATTATTGATTTTGTTTTTTTAAAAAATATGATAATGTAAAAATATTTACAAGTAATAAAGCTTTATTTTGTAAGATTTTTTTTAATTGACATACATATTTCTAGAAGAAGATGGCCGTTTCTCAAAATAAGGCCTCAAGGACTTATGTATCCTTTCTTGCCTTTCAATTGCTCAAAATTTTCAAATAAGGGCAACTATCTTGTAGCAGTTGGCAAGGATTAATTCAAAAGTTCAGATGCATCACAATCCAGAGGCTGTGTTTTAAGGAGGTTTACTCTGGACATTTTAAGGGGAAACATTCCCTTATAGTTTTGTGTTATCCTCATCTCTTTTGCTTCTGATCATCTCATTCCCCTCTCCTTGCCCATTGTGTTATTCATTTTTAGAAGCAAAGAGGATTTAAAGAAATAGAGATCTTGGGGAAAGGTAAACATATCCATGAATCAGGCAGCTCTTTCTATTTCTTTGTGTCTTTCCCCTGAAGCTCTATGCCAACTGCAGAAAGTTTCTTAGTCTCAGCTTCTGAAGAGAGATTCAACCTTGAACACAGCTCTGTTTCTTAAACTCCTCCTTTCTTAGATATTCTTGGAGAGAGCTACTCCTTTGGGGCTCCCAGAGTGTCCACTCTGGCCAACCCTAGGAACGCAGCTGCAGAAATATGTCTTCGTCTTGTTGACAGGCAGGCTCATAGGAGCCCTTGGATGGTGAGTTAATTCATGTCTGACATATATTCCATGTGTCATGGGGGCAGAGAAGATAATGAAACTGCTAAATTTCCAGGATGAAGGCCAGGGCCAGGACCAGGAGAGAGAAACATAAGCACTTTCACATTGTAGTGTCAATTTCCTATGGGTTTACCTACCTTTTGGTCCCCTGCGCCCCACTTTGCCATCCTTTCCCTCTTCTCCTGGATCTCCTTTTTCACCATCATCTCCTTTAAAAACAGAAAACTAGAGAGAGTGAAGCAGCTCAAATAGACACCAAAGTGCATTCTTCCCAGGGGAGGGTGAGCATGGTTAGATTCTGTCCCCCAGTACAGAGCTTGCCTTGCAACTCAGATGTGATGACGTGTTGAGTTCAGGCAGGCTGGAAACCCAGGTCAAAAAAAGAAACTTCCAGTGTATCTTCTCTTTTACTTTTCTCTGCATCCTACTTTATGTTTAAAGAACCCCCAAATTGTAAGCATGAACCAGGAAGCTAAGAACAGGAGATGTGGAATGCGGAACAGCTTCAAAACAGTCGCATATGAGTGGCAGCTGTCTGAGTTATAGGAGAGTGTGGCTCTAGCACCCTGAACAACCCGGAAGGGCTGAGCGACTGGTTTCATGGAAGGTAACCTGGACTATGAATTAGGAGTCCTAGATTTTAACATCATGTTCATTACTCACTAATGTTGTGGTAATTCACTGCTGCCACCAAGAGACCTGATGGCCAACTCCATTCCTTGGGGCCTGAGATGAGGCAGAATGGCAGAAGTGTGTGACAGAGAAAAGCAACTGGGAACATGCACCAGGAAGCAGAAAGAAAGAGCTCTCCTCACCACCACTAAATATAAACCCCAAAGGCAGGCCTGCAATGACCTACCTCCACCAGTCGCAATCTACCCACTTTCAGCTCTCACCCAGTTAATCCTATGGGGAGCAATTCACTGATTATAATCACTGATTATATCACTGATTAACTGGTAATATCTGGTTAGGTTAAGGCTCTTATAAACCTATCATTTCATCTGTAAACCTTCATGCATTGTCTCACACATGAGCTTTTTGGGGATACCACATATCTAAATCATAACATATGGATTGAGCAAATCTTTGATAAGTCAATGATTGAGTTTACTGATTTTGGAGTAAGACTGGTCTGGACTTGAATCTCAGCTCCTCCACTTACCCTATCTGGAGGAATGTGAACACATGTTCTTCAAGTCTCACTTTCCTCTCCTGAAAACTGAATTAATAATGCCTATTATAGTGGGCTCTTAAGAAATTCAAGTCAAATAAAATACATAGAAGACCTGGGACACAATCAGTGCTTATGCAATGATGGCCTTTGCCATTCCTTCCTTTGTTGCTGAAATTTCCTCTTCCTTGGGGTGGGCATAGTATCTGCCCTTTCTGCTTCGCCCAGTTTTAAGATCAACAAGGCAAGCAGATGATTGTTGCTTTGAAAATAAAGAGCAAACAAACATTGTGCTAACACCAGATACCTACATTATCACTGCAGTAATCTCAGGAAATGAAGGTCTCTGTCCATCACCAGAAGAAAGATGGAAAAACAAAGTTCAAATGGTATTAATGAAATTCCTGGAGTTGGGAGGAAAGTTGGGATGTTCATTGATTTGTCCAGGTAAAAAATATACACTGAGAGAGTTTCTCCATTTCTTTTTCCTGAGAGGAAAATGGGGTGGGAGGAAGAATTCTGGGCAGTAATACTGGTCAAATTAAATTGTTATATATTGCATGCATGTATGAAAAAATTAAATAAAATCATGGAAAGTGTATGGGTAAGATGGATTTCTAGTTGTGAGATTTGGGGTACTGCCCAAGGGGATCTATAAATTTCTGAGGAAGGGAAAAGATGCACAGAGGATTTATGTGGTTAGACCAGAGAGATACAGTTTGGACCAGGTTGCATTTTTCTAGCTAATGTTAACAGTAAATGTATATCAAGCAATTTTAACATGTGCTAAGTGCTCAGTTAAGGACTTGACATGGAATCATCATAGAAGACTGAAACTACTATTATTGCATTTTATAAGTAGAAAAAAAATGAGACTCTGTGGGTGACGGTGCGTGCTTATTGTCACAGAGCTAGTTAGTGGTTGAAGGAGGATTCAGCACCATATACTCTTCTGCCCCTCCAGATCCCTGTCACTATGTGGTATTACTTTCAGCCTGGGCTTCTGTGACTCTTAACAGATGGTGAATTTTAGAGAATTTGGCACTTTGTTGAATTCTTTTTTTCAGGGAGAAAAGGTGATATTCAGAAAAAAAAAAACACAACAGTTTATATTATCTTTTAAACAAGAAAGATAATGGGGGTAAAAATCAAAGAAAAAGGCTTAACTCACTATCTCAATGACTTAAACCACAGAAAATGTATCCTTCTGGCAGGTTAGTATAATTGAGAACTAACTTTGCCACTCACCAACTGAGGGACCTTGGGGAGTCCTTAGATTTTCTGGGCCTTGTTTTACTCATTTGTACAATGAGAGAAACTTTCTCCAAAGCAGTTTTTCTTTTTTTTAAAAGAAGTGTCAAATTATAAAGGTTTTAGACTCTAGGAAGACCTCTCTTTGTCACTCTGTAGAAATTTAAAGCTAAATTATTCAATTATTCCTCTAATAGCATTTGTTTAAAACGTTACCTTAAACTCAATGTGTCAGTTCATCTCTGTCCATCCCTTACCTCCTTCTGTGACCTTAGATACGGCTGTGATCATAAGTGATTTATTCTAGCACACCCAGAATTTAACACAATGCCTGATTCTGGTTCTTAATGCCTGTAGAGTTGTATGTACTTTGAGGGAACCATAAAATATTTTACAAATGTAGTAATAGAATTATTGAGTACTATGTGCCAAGAGTGTTCTTGGTTCTTGATATGCATTCCATAATTTGATTTCTGCAATCTTTGAGATAGATATTACTTTGAACTCCGTTTTATAGTTGAGGAAATGGGGACAAGGGGAGGTGATGTCATTATATAGGGTCATACAGCTTAAAAACGGTAAAGTCAGGATTCAAATCAGACCATTTATCATCAAAGCCTGTTCTCTGAACAAGCTGTATGATTCAGAGGAAATCCCTATCTTACAATTTCTGGTTCTTATATTGTTCTGTACAATGGGACTAGGAGGTATGTCCTGTTCACCAGAGGTTGAATTGTAAAGTCAACTGTAAAGTCATGGATGTGAATATTAGCATTATTATCACTTTCATTCCCACTTCTCCTTCCTGTGAGTTTTCCCATTCATTTCCAAGGAAGTGTCTAACTGGAGGCAGCTGGTGAGTGACAGTCATCTGCTGCTCCCTGGTGGCTCTGGGAGGGTGAAAATCGCACTGCTGTTTTTGTAACCTATGTGACTGTATCCAGCCTGGTGGCGAGCAGGAGGCTGGCAGAGATGAAGTAAACAACTTGTGTCCTTGCCTTCAGCTCAGGGCCCGGTTCATTTGATCTTTGGGACTTGCTTTAATGAGAACAGAAAGGAGACATAAAAGTAAGCTTTGGGAAGGACCCCCACTTGGTTCACAGTTGTCCACTTTTATCCTTCTGGCAATAGTTCACTGGATTAGTAGTGCTATTTAGCCTTCATTTTAAAATAGCCACTTACATTTGAAAATTAGATGAAAAGCTATAAACTGAAATAAATGAATTTCAGTTTTATAAAAGTGATTTGTTTGGGTCCCTCTAGGCCATTAGCTTGGTATGATAATCTCTCCAGCTGAATTCCAGCAGAGTACACAGTTGACCACATTTTCTTAGGTACTCTTTTCTTTCCTTTCTCTCAAGCAATCTTTTAAAATTGAATTCTACTTTGAAATTAAATAGCTGAAGCTAGGTCGGTACCCTGTACTCAAAAGAAGTGATTATTAAAAAATTAGGGCATTCATTTTGGAAATGTTAAAGAAAAATTCAAAGGAAGCTATGCCTTTTTCATTGCCAATATCATTTTAGAGATGGAAGAAGTTGTTAGCAATCTTTCTCCTGATCAGCATTAGAATCAAGTAGGATAGTTACCATGGTGTTCTTCATTAATGAGGCAAGTACTCCTTCCTAAAACGTGTGCTTTAACCCCTATATATATCTTCGTTCCACAGGTGCCAACTGCATCCTCATGTTTGGAAATTTCAACAATCGTATTGATTATTCCCCAGACCTCTCTGATACACATCAAATACACTAATAGGGTCATACAATGGATCAGCAGTTTTCCTTCTCTAATCGTTTTGCTGAAATATTTGGGCCTCCCTGAGATTTACTATTGCTCACCTTTTCCCCATTCATCCAGTTTACCATACCCCAAGGTACCTGCACTTACCCCTGACCTGTCTTGAGTTATTTCCACCCAGTCACTTCCACACAGCTCTCTCCAAGGCAGAGGGTCCGTACCATTGCTAAGAGCCTGGAGCAAGTCATTTCAGTTTTCCGAGTCTCAGTTTCTTCTTCCATAAAATGGAGAAAAATCATTCTTACCTTGTAGGATTGTTATGAACTGAAGGAGATAGTGAATAAAAAGTGCTCACACAGCTCATTGGGTAAACCCCTCTATTTTTCTCTAATAAAGGAAGGTAAGCATAAAGTGATTGTTCCTTGGTATTCACTACCTCAATCTTTAGCCTATAACCATTACTAACGGTTTTTATTTGCCCATATTTTATTTAGTTTTACTCTTTCCTATTGTGTTTATCAGTATTCTTTTTCATTGTGACCAAAATACCTGACCAGAACAACTTAGAGGAGGACAAATTTATTTTGGACTCACATTTTCAAAGGTTTCAGTTCACGCTCATCCTCCTCCATTGCGGAATCATAATGGAGGAATGGCATGGTAGAGGGAAGCTGCCCAGTTGTCGGCAGTTCAAAAGCAAAGGAAGGAGACAGAGACAGATATATTCCCCAAGGTCACATCCCCAGTGACCTACCTCCTCCAGCCATACCCCAACTGCCAATCATTTTTACCACCTCCCAGTAAACTTATTCAAATACTTAATCCATTAAGTGGATTCATCCATGGATAAGGTTAGAGCCCTCACAATTCTGTCTTCTCACCTCTAAGCATGGCTGCATTGCCTAACACATGAGCTTTACAAGGCATAATCCAAACTTAAATCACAACTATGAAAATTTTCACACATTCAAAGATGAAAAGACAAACACACCCATCACTGAGTTTAGCGACCACACTGTCATTGCTTCATCCTTCTTTCTGATT